AGTTCCTTCGTTCTAGCCTTAAAAGTTACTTTGATATTTTGGACTCATTTGTGCAAATTACAGTACAAGATAAGCAAGCTCATTTAGACAATGAGTTACTTTTGACAATCATTATCTCCTGCTGCCATCACTTTCCTCCTACTTTCGGCAATTTGTGCCTGCTTCATTTGGCGAAGAAATAGCCTAAACATTGGTCTCAAAAATGTTGAAATTTCAGGTACCAAAGCAGAACCCCTCTTCCCCTTTTAATTTCGATTCATTTTCATACCTGTTACTGCATGGGTGATGAGCTTGATTAACTGAACCTGTTACTGTATGGTTGATGAGCTTGATAAATTGGACCTGTTACTGCATGGGTAATGAGCTCATTCATTTTTGAGAAATTTAAAAATAGTTAAAGTAAATGAAATGGCAGCTGAGCCTGTTTACCATGCCTTTTTCTCTGACTGTTATTTTTTGTGGATCCTGTTTGTGAGCCAGGTTGTGAGGATTTCACCAATCTCTTCATGATGTTGTTTTTGTTACATATAATGTTATTTCACTTGCTTATAATAACACGTTGGTGACTATTTACTTTAGGCTATGATGATTGTTAAAATTTCTGAGATTAGCAACCTACAATATCAATTGATATTGCACTGGATGGCTAACAATGATGATATTGACTAGATTCTGAGCCCATTTCACTAATTTTCTAAGTGAGTTTGGCAACCAGGAAATTTTATACGTTTCCTATTCATTGTTGGTGCGAGATGGTGTTTCCTGGTTCATTTTGTGTGACTGGTTGGTGTATAATCTGGTATGTTTTTGTGTGGCTGGTTTTATATTCATGGTTTGTGTATCATCTTCATTGTTGGGTTTTTGGTTGCTTTTGTGCTTGTCTGGAGGATGCTGGTGGGTGTATCTTGTGAGCCTGCTGTGGTTTGGTTTGCTGGTTGTGAGCTTGGTTTTATATTGCTGGTTGTGAGCTTGATTGTGGAGCCTGGTTGTGAGCCTGTTCAGATTTTGTGGATACTGGTTGTTTGGATGCATTTCTCTGTTTTGTATAGGTATGGAGATCCCTTTTGCTTTCCTTTCTTGGATTTCTTCCTTAATTAAAATTATGAAATTCTTGAGAAACTAACAACTTTATTGAAGCAGTCCTTTCATGCACAAGTTAGTTCCTTCGTTCTAGCCTTAAAAGTTACTTTGAATTGAAGCAGTCCTTTCATGCACAAGTTAGTTCCTTCGTTCTAGCCTTAAAAGTTACTTTGATATTTTGGACTCATTTGTGCAAATTACAGTACAAGATAAGCAAGCTCATTTAGACAATGAGTTACTTTTGACAATCATTATCTCCTGCTGCCATCACTTTCCTCCTACTTTCGGCAATTTGTGCATGCTTCATTTGGCGAAGAAATAGCCTAAACATTGGTCTTAGAAATGTTGAAATTTCAGGTACCAAAGCAGAACCCCTCTTCCCCTTTTAATTTCGATTCATTTTCATACATGTTACTGCATGGGTGATGAGCTTGATTAACTGAACCTGTTACTGTATGGTTGATGAGCTTGATAAATTGGACCTGTTACTGCATGGGTAATGAGCTCATTCATTTTTGAGAAATTTAAAAAATATTTAAATTAAATGAAATGGCAGCTGAGCCTATTTACCATGCCTTTTTCTCTAACTGTTGTTTTTTGTGGATCCTGTTTGTGAGCCAGGTTGTGAGGATTTCACCAATCTCTTCATGATGTTATTTTTGTTACATATGATGTTATTTCACTTGCTTATAATAACACGTTGGTGACTATTTACTTTAGGCTATGATGATTGTCAAAATTTCTGAGATTAGCAACCTGCAATATCAATTGATATTGCACTGGATGGCTAACAATGATGATATTGACTAGATTCTGAGCCCATTTCACTAATTTTCTAAGTGAGTTTAGCAACCAGGAAATTTTATACATTTCCTATTCATTGTTGGTGCGCGATGGTGTTTCCTGGTTCATTTTGTGACTGGTTGGTGTATAATCTATTTACTTTTTTTGTATGGCTGGTTTTATATTCCTGGTTGGTGTATCATGTTCATTGTTGGGTTTTTGGTTGCTTTTGTGCTTGTTTGGAGGATGCTGATGGGTGTATCTTGTGACTGGTTGTGGTTTGGTTTGCTGGTTGTGAGCTTGGTTTTATATTGCTGGTTGTGAGCTTGGTTGTGGAGCCTGGTTGTGAGCCTGTTCAGATTTTGTGGATATTGGTTGTTTGGAGGATGCATTTCTCTGTTTTGTACAGGTATGGAGATCCCTTTTGCTTTCCTTTCTTGGATTTCTTCCTTATTAAAATTATGAAATTCTTGAGAAACTGACAACTTTATTAAAGCAATCCTTTCATGCACAAGTTAGTTCCTTCGTTCAGATTTCAGGTACCAAAGCAGAACCCCTCTTCCCATTTTAATTTTGATTCATTTTCATGATGTAATTATTAATATGTCATCATATATTTCTTTGCGCATTAAATCAGGTGAACTTTAAATCCTTTTACCACTTTCAAGTAAAAAATAATATTACTCACGAGGGAAGCTGTATGTTATTGTTCTGATACTTGTTTTAAGATGTTATTTTCTCAGTGGGATGACTTGGAGCTCTTCCCTTCATTGCTGTAAATTTCTTTATGTTGGACTAATTGAAGTATGTTATTTGCCATAGCTGTAATCTGGCTTGAGAGCTTTTAATCGCTAATTGAAGTATGTTATTCGCTATATATGTTAGTTGTTATTTGTGCTCGTCGTCGAGCTCCTGTGGCTGTTTTTGGTTACTATGATGATTCGAGCTTGTTTAGCTCTATGTTGTTGGGTGTTTGGTTGCTATTTATGACTATTCAGGTTATTTATATGTTTTAATAGGTTTCAGTAGATTTTTTGGGTAATTCAGGTATGTACTACGTAAATTTATGAATAATCAGGTTATTACAGGATTCGTGTGATTTTTTCAATCTCAAACAGGAACATTTGAACTTTTATATGATTAAGATTACCTCATATTAAAAGCACAAAAAAATTTGTATATAGTGGGGGTAATCTTACCATGGTGACTATAAACACTTTTTCCTACAAACTTCAAAACCAACCAAACACAAGAAAAGTGGGAAATGTCATATTAACAAAAGTTTTCCTTTTTTTCCCTGCGAACCAAACACAAAAAAAGTAAATATATTGGTTTCCCACCATTTTTTATGTGCGAACCAAAGCGAAACAATCAATTTCTTGGAAAAGTATGGAAAACTAAAAACTTGTGTTTCTTTACATGGAATTGCATTTCCCTATATCTAGGAAACGAACCAAACAGCCCCTAAGAGCATCTCCAACAGCTTCCCCATTTCTCACTTTTAGAGCATCTCCAACAGCTTCCCCATTTCTCACTTTTAGAGCATCTCCAACAGCTTCCCAATTTCTCACTTTTGAAGAATTTAGTTAGGTTTTTGGCCCAACAGATTCCCCATCTCATTCCCCAAAATAGGGATGAAGGAGAAAAAATAGGAAAGCTTCCCCAAATCTGCAGCATTCTCCAAATTTTTGGAGAAAAAAATTAATTCTTCAAAATGGGGAAGCTGTTGGAGTTGGTGTAAAAATTAGTTGGAGAATATGACTTTTGCTTTCTCCATTTTGAAAAAATTTTTGAAGAAGCTGTTGGAGATACTCTTAGAGAATTTAATTAGAGTTTTGGTCCAACAGATTCCCCATCTCATTCCCCAAAATAGGGATGGAGGAGAAAATATGGGAAAGCTTCCCCAAATCTGCACCATTCTCCAAATTTTTGGAGGAAAAAATGGATTCTTCAAAATGGGGAAGCTGTTGGAGTTGGTGTAAAAATTAGTTGGAAAATATGACTTTTGCTTCTCCATTTTGGAGAAAATTTTGGAGAAACTGTTGGAGATGCTCTAAGCCATACAGAAGATGATAGGATGCCAACTGAAACAATAATTGGCAGGAGAGACATGCAAAATACCTCGATAAATCACACTCATTTAAGCCTGCAGAATAAAAGCACTCTTAAGGTTCAGCATCAGCTTAGCTAAATAAGATATCTAATTTACAACAGAAACATAGTTTATTGTGTGTCGGTGCCTTCGTGACTTTTTGAGGTGGCATCAATAGAAGGCTATTATCACTATAGAATTTTTCCATCCGTCATACTCCTGACTCCTGCCATTTAAAAAATTGTCTATAATACACTAACTATTAAAAGTTTTAAAAAACCCCTTGCTTTCGACGAGAACAGCACTGATGCGTACGCATCATACGCATCAGTGCGCATGAGAAACTCTCT